TTTAGGGTTTGGGGTTCAGCGTTTTAAAACTACTTAGGGTTTAGAGTTTAGTAGAAATTCAGTAGAGATCTTTGGATCACCTCCGGATTCCATGCAGGAGCTTTATGCAGAGAAGCAGCTGGAAGCCATCTATCAGCAGGCTGCGCGGTAGCGATTTTGTATCTGTTGGCCGCAGGGGCGCACTTCAGCGTTGGAGCCCCTGCAGTGGGCAAGACGGTTTCTGCAACGGAATTGCATGTGAGAGACATTGTCATTTGAGTTGTAGTCTAAACTCCNNTGGGGTTACATATGGGAGTATATAGGAGAGTACTGTAGGGGTTATTAAGGGGGGTACCAGGAGTTTAGACTATAGCTGATTTGCAGGCCAGCAAGCTTGACAACGGAAGGCGGGGTCGCTTCTGATTCTCGGGCATCTATTCTTGACAAGATATGGTAGTTTCCCAATAAAGGAACCCCAAAATATGCCCCAAAATACTCCAATCCTTGTTTTGGGGACCCCCAAAAGGGTACCCCCTAACTTGCGGAAACTCCAAACCCTATACAACCGCCACATGTCCCCTACATACCCCCTACTGTGACAAGATGCAAAGGGCCTTTGCCATCAACATGAATCCGAAGCCCGCAAGCCCGTTTAGCTGCAAGGCATAGCGCTGAGGTTGGCGGCTCAGTCTCATGCCATCAGATTTCAACGTGGGGGTTTCCGAAAATTTAGGGTTTATTGTTTAGGGTTGGGGGTTTCATGAAATTAGGGGGACATTATTGCGGAGTCCACATATTAGCAAAGATTATTGGATATTGGAGTCCATATTGGGGTCCCCCCATTTTTGGAAATTACCCTGTGGCAAGGGTGGTCCTACCCAAAAGCCTTTCTGGGCCAACAAAAGTTTGTACTGCCAAAGACTTCTCGAGAGAATCGTACGCTGTATTGGAGCCCATGACAAGTGGGACGAGTTTTCTGGGTTGCTGTTAAGGAACTTAAGTTCAGTTACTGTATTGGGGAAGCCCTACTATTTACGAAATGTACCCATTATGGTAACTCAAGTTCTTTAACAGCAACCCAGTTATTCCCAGTTTGCCGGCATAGACATGCAGTGCAAGAGCTGCGCAAGGCTGCCCAACCCCCATTTCCGAATGAATGAACTTGAAACTCTTCTCTGTTGGCACGGCCAGCAGACTGCAATTCGTCTATGAACCCAATAGACTATAGTAGTTTCC